CGCCCGCGGGACCACGGTTTCACTCCCGACCCGCCGCCAGCCGCTCCCGCCCCTCCTCGCCATGGGCACCTTTGTTTTTGTTTGTTTGTTTGTTTGTTTTTTGGTTTAATGCCCACATAAGAGCTTTTTTAGATTCTTAGGTTTGTTCGGACCCAACACTAGTGGCAGGGCTCGTCTTGCTGTGTGCGGGCTCAGGGCGCGGGCCGAGCAGGGAGGCCGGGGCGTCAGCCGGGGGTGCCCCGGGAGTCTCCTCCCCGCGCTGGAAGTGGGGTGCCCGGGGCGTCAGCCGGGGCGTCGGGAGGGGCCCGGGAGTCTCCTCCCCGCGCGGGGAGTGGGGAGCCCGGGGCGTCAGGAGGGGCCGGGGTGCCTCCTCCCCGCGCTGGGAATGAGACTGGGAGGCCATAGGCGGCTGCGGGGACGCAGGACTGGGCTCATTGCACTCACGGCCCCTCTTCTCTTAGCTTCTAAGGTTCTGGCTTTTCCAAACCCAGAAGACAGTGCGCGAAGCCAGGGGACATCAGCCATGCTCCAAACAACTTGGCCTCGGGTGAGCTGAGCTTCCTTTCCGTCTTTCTAAAATCGCATTAGCTTTCAGTGATCAGGAAGGGACCATGGCCTAAGTGGCCAGGCTCTGGTTTTCTCTTTGAGTCTGTTCCCAGGGTGATGGCTGTAAATACGCGTGGGGGAAATAGTTTTGTGCATGGAGTGTGATGACTTAGGATGTGTAGGTTTAAGTGTAAAAGGGGGACCCAAGCCAAGAAATTCTCCCTTACTGTGGAAATCTAGATCATGTTCTATAAAGACAAATTACCTGCCAAGAGCAGAGGAATTATTCATTGAAGAGATTGCCCAACAAATTGGAGACATATCCCAGAGAGATAAGCATTGTTCTAAATGCTAGGTGCATAGTATTGAATAATGCAGACAAGTTCCCTTTTCTCGTTAGCAGAATAGACAGTCTGCGAACAAATAAATTCACACCATAATTACATGTTGCTAAAGTACAGTGCTTCTCAAGAGTGTGGCCCACTGGCAGCCTGGGCATCACCTGGGAGCTCTTTAGAACTGCAGATTCTGGGGCCCCACCCTTGACTCAATCAGACTGGGAAGGAGGATACCCGGGGTCAGGAATCTGTTGTAAGAGCCTTCCAGGTGATTCTTATAAACTTCAAATTTGAGGCACCTCAAAAAAGCTACCTCTGAAGGTAGTGGTCAGGGGAGGCTGTGGCTTTTCTTCAACAGAGCTAGCTTTCTGATAAAGTAAGAAGGTATAAAAGAAATTTGCAAATTGCTGGGAAAATTTTTGAGGAGTGGCTCCTCTGCACACAGTGGAAGATGCTGGGGAAGACTGGGGAGAAGCTAGGTGCGGGAACAGATGGGGCTGTGCGTGTGTGCTTCAGATGGGCGGAGCAGGGTGAGTGGCAGCTGCCTGCAGTGGTTGGCGTATAGTAAATGAGGTGACCAGATTATGGAGTACGTGAGGCAGGAGGTGCCAGAGGGACAGATCCATAGGGGGTGATGCAGTTACCAGGCAGAGAGCCCCAGATGCCAGGCTGTGCGATTAGGATGACAGGGCCCCAGAGCTGAGCGGGTGGGAGTGCGTTGGGGTTCTGTGTTTGGAAGTGGGAACACTGGCTGAGGGCGGGCCCCTGGCTGGGTGCTGGGTGCTCTTCTTGATAGAGCAGACCTTCCACAGGGCCCAGAGTTGGGGACCCCGCAGTTCAGGCTGCCTCCTTCTGCCCCTCTCTGAGCTTGAGCAGGAATCTGTCATTTCAGGAGTCAGTGACCTTTGAGGACGTGGCTGTGTACTTCACTCAGAGCCAGTGGGCCAGCCTGGACCCTGTGCAGAGGGCCCTGTACAGGGAGGTGATGCTAGAGAACTATGCAAATGTGGCTGCGCTGGGTAAGGTGTCTCTCAGTGGCTCCTTGTGATAGTTTGACATCTTTCTCAGATATTTGGGGAATTCTAGTAGCCCTTGGGTTTAATGACTCCAGGGGGAGTTCTGCAGTCACCAGCCTCTGGGAATTCTGGATGGGGAAATCCCTGGTGTCTTTTGGTGTTAAAGCTGGACTTCTTTACATCTCAGGGAAGAGCGTAGTTCTGCGCCCTGAGGGGAAGGACTTCCTGGTGCCCTAGGTGACCCTTCATTCCCCCATCCTTCCATTATCCTCTGAGGAGGGATCTCTTTCTTCCTCAGGGGGTTTCCTTTCTTCTGAGTAAGGGCAAGGTTGAAATTTCTTCCTGTGGAGAATGGCTGTCTCCCTGTCATTCCCTTGGAGCAGTTTGGAGCCCTTCCTCAGACCCCTGGCTGGCTCACTTGGTCTCCTGAACAGTCCGTTTCTCTCCCCTCCCAACTAGCCCGTTAGGGGTGGGCCAAAAGAGATCCCAGGAAGAGCTCTGGATGTCTCCCTCAACTTGTCTGTTTTTCTTGTTGAAGTAGCATTTCCAGTCACCAAACCTGTTCTGATCTCCCAGCTGGAGCGAGGGGAGGCACCTTGGGGCACTGATCCCTGGGAAGCAGAGGTTTTGCGAGGCATCTGTCCAGGTGAGTGAGACAATACAGCAGTTTCTGGTTTTGACTTCCCGGTTTACTGGAAATGTTTCTTCTGCAGGAGAAAACAAAGCTCCCCGTTGTCCATAAGGCAGTACTCGGTATACTCTGACTTCTACTGAGTTCTAGCCCCGAGCCCAGAAAGTTCAGTCCTTGGGAGTGCTTGGCCACCCCCTGTCTGCACACACACGTGCTCTCCTGCAGAAAACTGTGACCCAGGAGCTCCTGAACCACTTCTTTTTCACCGGTGGAAATATTTAATTTTATGCCAATTTTTATGGCAGAGAAGTAGGGTTTCAGCCATATTTTAAGGAGAATTTGATTCTGTGGGTCAGACTGATTTATTTGTGTCACAGCTATGAATTTTAATTTGCCTTTTTTGTGCATTTTAAAGTTTCTTATGACATAATCTTTAGGTTTACATTGTATTTGTCTTATATGGGGTTGCATAGGAGAAGGCAAGGAATAGTCCTCTCACCACAGCACCCATCATGTACACACAGCCTCAGATTTCCCTGAGACTGCCTACCAGTCCTGGGAGGCTTTCATTACTTGGTTTTCTTTCCTTTTGAAAGGCAGCTCCAGGCCTCACTTCCCACACATACTGTGATTTTGTAAACAATGGTTCGCTTAGCAGTAATACCATACCATTGTGGCCTGGAGCTCTCCAATTCAACTTCGGTTCCAGCTGACTTTCTGCAAGAATCTTTTATTCCAGAATATTATGTGGAGCATTCAAAAATGGAATTATTAGGCCACTATTTAGAATTTGGGGTGGTTTCCTGACCTACAGGGAGCATTGTGATCAGTTGTCTGCTCATGTGTTACCAGCCTACTCTGTCTGCCGCATCNTGGGGTGGTTTCCTGACCTACAGGGAGCATTGTGATCAGTTGTCTGCTCATGTGTGTTACCAGCCTACTCTGTCTGCCGCATCGTGCTAGAGCTGACGTCTGACCAGTCTCACTGGTCTTTTTCTTCTGCTGGGTCTCTGTCTCTTTAAAAAATGTTTCCATTTCTTCTGGTCCCTCTTCTCTGTTCTTTTCTCTCTTTCCCCCTCCTGCCTTCTTTCCCTCCCATTCTTGAAGTTCTCATTCTGCCCATTTCACCTGTCTTAGTTTTCCGCCCCCAGCCTTCCTTATAGGAGGCATTTCCTGGTCTGTTTCCAGTGTCATTACTTCTCCAATTATGTTACTATTTTTCTCTCTTGTCCTCCTTTGTGGATGTTTATAGCTATTTCATGGGTATATTTTAAAAAATCACATCCTAAAAGAGAGAATTAGGACCCCTGGATTCTGTTTTCTGTTCAGCTCAGTAATTGGGAATACTCATGGTTTCTTTGATTAGGTGGTGAGTCGTGGATCAAGGGTGAAGAGCCAACTGTGAAACAGGAGGCTTCCGGAGAAACAGAGTGGCCCGGAGTGCTGGGAGGCGGACTCCTCAGAAATGTGTCTCAGCACCTTGATTTTAAAAGCAAGGCCAACGCCACGTGGTCGACTTTCAATCTGAATCCAAATCTGATACTTCGAGGGGGAATGAAGTTCTATGAGTGCAAAGAATGTGGGAAAATCTTCAGGTACAACTCAAAGCTCATTCGGCATCAGATGAGCCACACTGGGGAAAAGCCCTTCAAATGTAAGGAATGTGGCAAAGCTTTCAAGTCCAGCTATGATTGTATTGTACATGAGAAGAATCATGTCGGAGAAGGGCCCTATGAATGTAAGGAGTGTGGCAAAGGTCTGAGTTCCAACACGGCCTTGACTCAGCATCAGAGGATCCACACTGGAGAGAAGCCCTACGAATGCAAAGAGTGCGGCAAGGCCTTCCGTAGGAGTGCAGCCTATCTTCAGCATCAGCGATTACACACTGGGGAGAAACTCTATAAGTGCAAGGAATGCTGGAAAGCCTTTGGTTGCAGGTCACTTTTCATTGTCCATCAAAGAATTCATACTGGGGAGAAGCCCTTCCAGTGTAAGGAGTGTGGCAAGGCGTTCACGCAGAAGATCGCCTCCATTCAGCATCAGAGAGTTCACACCGGAGAGAAGCCTTACGAATGTAAGGTGTGTGGGAAAGCCTTCAAATGGTATGGCAGTTTTGTTCAGCATCAGAAACTGCACCCTGTGGAGAAAAAGCCCATCCCAGTGAGTCCCCAGTGCCCCTCTTCAGCCTCATCGCCGGGCCCTCTCCAGAGCCCGTGCTCGGCGCCTTCACTGACCTTTCCGCGCGCGGTGCTCCTTCCTGCCTCTGGGCCTTTGTTTATGCTGCTTCCCACACCCGGAACGCCTTCATCACCTGTCCCAATAGTGCGAGTCTTCCAGGGCTTCGCTCCCAGTGTCAGGCCTGCCCCAATTAGTCTCACCCCTCGGGAGCTTTATCTGGCTACTCCCGTGGCTCTCACACCCAGCAAATCTCCAACCTAATTTGAGTTTCATTTGTATTTTTTTCAGCTATTTCAGCATACACTCCATTGTACTCTCTATATTTAAAGACTGTATTTATATAATATGTTCTCTTTTCTTCTGGAAATGAAATTAGTCTCCTGATTAAAAACAAAGTGATACTGACTTTTTAAAAGTCGATTTTGTATATACTGAGGTATATTTAACATATATACAATTCGCTGATTTTAAGTATACAAAGATTTTTAGTACTTTAAACATGACCATAAATCAGTTTAATAACATTTTCATCCAATAAGGTCCCTCCTGCCCAAGCAACCACTAATTTACTTTTTGTCTCTATAAATGTTATTTTTATGAACAGTTCCTGTTTTTAAGAAAGCATTTTTGTGCTTTCTAGCACACATGATGTCCATGCTTAGCTGGTACTTCCCAGCTCTGGTTCTGGAATCAGCCATTTTTCCAGGGAGCCCTGATGTGGGACATGATATTTAGAAACCAAGAGCTAGGGCCCAGATATCTTGTGGCATCCTCAGCATGGATGGCCTGAGGCTGGGATGTGGTACATTTCACCTAGTTCAGGGCTGCGGGGCTGTTGGACATTCACCTGGCTTTCCAACTCTAGTTTCATGTGGAAACCCAAAGTGAACAATCAGAGAGATCTCTGTGATCTTGGTGCTAAACTGTGACGATCAAGAGGCATTGATTGTTGGTTCTCATTTGAACTTGTAGCCATTATGTGGTTTTTTTGGTGTGTGTTTTTTGTATAAGAAAAGAGTAAATAATCTATGATTGGCTGCCATGTCTAATTCATACAACTACCCAATTTCCAAATAACTGACAGAGTGCCTGACATGTGGAAGGCTTTTAATAAGTGCTTTTTGAATAAATAAATGACCAACGCATCTTTGTATAGTTATTGCCTTCATCATAATTCAAGCTGTAGCTTACTGTCACCGGAAGGCTAAGCAGTAAATATAGAAATTCATGAGCTATAAATTGTAAAACAGGCCTCACTACCTATTAAAATACATAATATCTGCAGATCCTAGTCTGTTTATAAATCGAAGAAATGAATCCCATAATTATAGGATTATGGCAAAAGTGATCTTAAAGCAATGTGCAAAGTGTATATTGGTGGATAAACGTTTGTAACCAGCAAAGGGAAGGAAACAATGTGAGAAGCAATGTTTAATCTTTCCTTGTTAGGGCAGAAGCAGGTAAAATTTGGCATTGAATATAACTTTGTTTTACCTGTGCCTAGGTTTTAAGCAAGTGCCATTTCTAAGGAAAAAAGGGGTATTGTCATGTGAGAGAGCACAGCAAGCATTAGCGTTGGAAACAACGGGAAAAGACAAGGATGGTTGGAGTTACTTCAGTTGTTTTAGCCGGATGCATACATACCCCTCTCCCCCCAAATAGTTCAATTTGTTTCTATTGGGATCGACTGAGAGGTCTTCTGACTTCTCTGGGATTGCTAGTGATCCAGAGAGGGGATCGAGCCCTGTTCAGCTTTCCACCCTCATTTTCACCCCATTGGACAAAAGATTCACGTAGAGTCAATAATTGTTAACAGTTTCCACATCTGGTTTCTCTCCTCTGTCCCCCCTCCTCTTCCTCCTTTATTTATCTATCTATCTATCATCTAACTATCTATCTATCTATCTATCTATCTATCTATCTATCTATCTATCTATCTGACTATTATATCTCTGATCATCTGTCATTCTAAATACTTCCATGGGTATATCCAAGAGCAAGTATCTTTTCTTATGTGACTTCAATATAGTTATCTAATTCATGAAATTTAACACTTAACCTCGATCCAGTATGATTTCCCACTTTGTAGTCTGCATTCAAATTTTCCCAACTATCCCATTAATGATGTTTATAGCTATTTGCACTTCTAATCCAGGATCACAGATTACACTCAGTTCTCAGGTCTTTCTAGGGTCCTTGGATTTGGAACACGCCCTCAGCCTGCCTTTGTTTCTCACGACTTTGATATGATCTAACTTGGGTTTGTCTCACGTTTGCTCATTACTAGATTCAGATTATATACATTTTAGCCAGAATATCCCAGAAGAGATAGTGTGCCCTGCTCAGCGCATCTTATCACGAGCCATATCTTGTGGGTTGATTTTATTATTGATAATATGAGTGCTGACCATGTGATTAAGTTGGTGTTCATCGTATTTTCCACTGTTGAATTACTATTTTCCCTTTTGCGGTTAATAAGTACTTTTGTGGGAGGTACTTTGGGTTTATGTAAATATCTCGTTCCTTAGCAAACTTCCTGAATCATACCCTAATTTTTAAATGGAGAAGATAACGAATCTATCAGCATAATCTGTGAAGCAGAAGACGGAACCTGGGTCAAGTTTCAGGATTCTGTTAAACTGTCCTTGGCAGGGAAATGGCTGCAGAGTGCCAGCAGCTCCAACTCTATTTAGTAGACTGGCAGCCCAGCCAACCAGGTGAGAGCTGCCAGGTATTTTTAAAAAGAACTGTAAACACCGTCAGGGGAAGAAGGGATAAATTGAGGCTGAGACGAGCCTCTGAGCCCCCAGGTCACAGTTCTGTTACTCAGCCAGGTGAACCTTGACTAGGGTGACCCTGTAGTCGAGCCACCGACTGGGAAGATGCTTCATCTCTCTGTTGAGTTCTTGAATATTTATTTTCAAATTCTACTTAGTTTCCAAGGCTGAGGTTGCTTCCTAGGGAGAAGCTTCACCTCTTCATGGAGAGTCCTTGGACTTGTAAGGGACGTGTCTGGGGCCATCCACCTGCCCCTCCAGCGGGGCAGTGAAGGGCAGAGGGTCCCTGGCTTCCCCAGGACACCTGGGTTTGGGCTTCTGGCTCTCCGCGTACAGTGCGTTTACTCCTCTCAAAAGAGAACCTTTATTTTATATTTGTTGGCCCTGTAGGGTACGGTCCCTAGACATACATCATAATGAAAAATGGTGATTCCTGGAGAAGATCCCCAACGGGGTGATCTGTCAGTGACAAAGTCCTGCTGGTCTTTTCTAAGTAGCTGTGGCTCCGGATGGAGTTACTCTCGCAGCTGAACAACAGTCCGGCTATTCGTTGACTCACTGGCAGAGAGAATTAATGCCTGTGGGCTCGTCTGAAGGTTCATGTTCAAGGAGAGTCTTCATTGCATTAGTCATCCAGAAAACTGGTGACCAGAATAAGCGTTCCTCAAGCTAAGAGAATAGCTGCTATGATGGCAAGAGACAGACCTAGTTTTTACTGAAGTATAATTAATATACAGTGATATGCACATATCTTGAGCTTTTGATGACTCTGGACAATTATATACACCTGTGTACCATCACCAAAACAAGATAGACAACATGTCAGTCATCCCAGAGAGTTCCTGATGTCTCCTTCCAGTCAGTCAATACCCACTACCCAGAGGCAGGGACTGTTATGATTCCTGTCATCATCTTTCCTTGCAAGGTATCCGCTGTTCTAACTTGTAGCTCAAAAAGCTGATTTTGCCTGTGTTTGATCTTCATATAAATGGAATCATGCAGTATGTACTCTTTTTGAGTCTAGTTTCTTGACTCAACATTTTCCATGAGATTCATCCATGTGCTTGTCACTTTTTAAAATTGCTAAATTGTGTAATATTCCCCAATATTATCTTGAAGCAAATTGCAGTCATCGTATCATTCCATCCATAAACATACAGTAGGCAACTCTAAAAAGACCCTACGCTGCACACTGAAGTCAGTACAAAGGCCCTGACATATTTCTGGTCCTCGGCCTGATGGGGATGTTGGGGCTCGTGGTCCAGGTTGGGACAGGAACATGAGGGCCCGAGGGCCTGACTATGGCAGGGGGTGGTTGCGGAGTAGGAGGAAAGCACTTCGGATCGCTGCGGGGAGGGCACGGCGAATGAGGCAGTGGAAGGATGATGTCCTGTGGTCCAGGTTGAGCCAGGAGCACCGGGGGCTTGGGACTTGCTAAATGTATATGGAATAAATGAGTGACAACGTCAGGGACCATGGATGGCAAAACACCGTTTTCTATTCTTTCTGCATTTTAATCTTGGATTCCGAGCCCCTGANCCAGGAGCACCGGGGGCTTGGGACTTGCTAAATGTATATGGAATAAATGAGTGACAACGTCAGGGACCATGGATGGCAAAACACCGTTTTCTATTCTTTCTGCATTTTAATCTTGGATTCCCAGCCCCTGTACCATATACCTTAAGAAACATTTGTTCTTAGGTGTGTTTATTATGCTTAAAGATTTAATTAGTCTGCCTTAGGACACATAGTATCTCTCAACCCCAAACACCTTTTCTTTGTCTAAAATGAGTCTCTATTCACACACCCACCCCTTCTTTTTGTTGGGATTTAATTTTGACTAGAAGAGATCGGTCTCATTCCCAGGTTATTTGGAATCTGCCTGCATACTATCTTTTCTTGTTCAGTAAAAAAAATTCTTTCAATTTAAATTTTCTTTCAAAAGCACTGTGCATGGGCCAATCCAACATGCAAATCAGGAGCTGCACATTCCGTGTCCCTGGGACGCTTCCTGGCCTGCCCGCGTTCCCGCAGCCCTGCTGCTCCCCTGCTGCGGGCCCTCTGCTTCCCTTCAGAGCTGTCCCCTGGCCCCGCGTCTGGCCTCGGGCTGGGCTGCGGCTCTGCGCTGCGCTGGGCCCGGCCAGCCACTGGACTCCCCAGCCCCCCGAATGCCACCTCTTTCCGTAGGGTGAAGATGAGCTTAGGGCATCTTTCTTATGGGGCCTTGAATGATATATTTTGCTTTGGGTACCAAAGCCTGTACCAACATGAAGTGCTGTCTGTGCTGTGTATTTAATAATAATAATAATAATAGAAAAAGCACACATTCTTAGCACCATCTTCGAGCAGATCCCTTCCCCTTGGCAATATCTTCTCTCTCCACAATACTCAGGAAGGTCTGTAGATTATATTGCCATGTTTTTGAGACCGTTCTAACATTTTTTTCTTCACTATTATTTATTGCATCATTCCCCCCTCTGGACAGAAGAGAATATTTAAAAATTATAATTGTTCCAGTTGATGGCCAGAATAGGTTTTCTTCAAAACAAAATTTAGCTACTACGATGGCAAGAGACTGGACCTCGTTTTTACTGAAATATTATTAGCCTACAATTAAATGTACATAGCCCAGCCACTCTGAGTTTTGCCAATTGTATACACCCACATGCCATCATCAAAACAAGATATAAAATGTCTGTATCACTCTAGAATATTCCTTCCTGTCCCCTTCCAGTCAATACCCACCGCCCAGAGTGCAGCCACTGTTTCGATTTCTATCACCATACGTAGGTTGTGCTTGTTTTTTGAATGTTGCATAAATACACTGTGAATGCTTTTGTGTCTGGCTTTTTTTTTACACTTATCGTGTCTGTAAAATCCATTTATGTCGTGTATCTCCAGTCCCTCCCTTTTTATAGCTGAATGGATTCTGTTGTACATCCACACAACTTGTTTATCCATTCACCCATTGATAGGCACTTGGGTTGTTTCTAGTTTGGACTATTCTGAGTAAAGTTGCTGTGAACGTTCGTGTACAAGGCTCCGCCTGCGTGTGGCAGGAGGTTGTAAGGTGGTACCAGCGATCCCCGCCTCCTGGTGTTCATGCCTTTGCAGAACCCCTTCCCCTGGAGTGTGGGCAGGACCCGTGACCTGCTTCTAACCCATAGACTATGACCAAGGTAATGGGATGTCGCTCCCGGGATTGTTCCATCACGTTGTGTCCCTGTCCCGCCAGCAGACTCTACTGACTTTCTTGCTGGCTGCGATGAAACAAGCTGCCCTACGGACAGGCCCTCATGGCAAGGAACAGAGCAGCCGGCCCCATGTCCTCGACAACATCTTGCACTGCCAGTCCTTTTGATTTTCCA